AACAAACCGACTGCTGTGCGATTCAGTTTGTACTAATACTCAAACTCCAAGTAATACAGATTAGAGATGGCTCTATGTCACTTTTTCATGTGCGACACCGATGCTGCAACCTTGAGTATCAGCCAGTAGCATCTTTTCCCCTGTTAATAATTCAATATCATGATCAGTTGTGGAACAAATATTCTACTCCGGAGAAGGAAGGAATATAAGCCCACAACATGAGTTATCCAATACTGCTGTTTCTTTCTATTTAAACCTTTTCATACTGAACTGTTAGCAGCATTTTTAACCGCTCAGCAGCATCCAAACATTCAAAATTAAATTTAAATTAAAGCTGCAAGCCGTTATGATCGGGCCCTCGCTGTCCGCGCATTTCGGAGTGTGCTGCATACAAAGTTTTACTTCCTGTTTCCAGGAGGGGGCGCTATGACTATGACTGAATATTGGCATGTAGATGTGTTCAGAGTGGGACTCTTATCAGACATGTGAAGTTTGGTTGAGATTGGACAAAGTACACTGAAGTTATGACAACTTCCTGTTTAATGGCGAATCGTCAAAATTCTCACAGGCACGCCCTTCAATGCACATTCACAAATGCCGCAACTTTTAATCGTGATGATCTTTAAATTGTGCTGACCGAATTGGAAGTTGATCCGATCAATTTCCTAGGAGAAATTCGTTCAAATACAAACGCCAAAAATGACCACCAAATTCAAAATGTCCAACTTCCGTTGGGTTTGGGGTATGGATCCAAGAGACTTTTTTGTACGTCTGGTCGTGTTACATGCGTGTACCAATTTTCATACATAATGGTCGAACGTGTCTTGGGGGTTGAGTTTAGGGGGCGTGGTTAAGCCATTTTGCCACGCCCCCTAAAAGATCCACAGAATACATATATTTTCACCATTGCCGAATTTCGTGCCGCATTTCAAGAGTTTTTGAGTATGTAGATAGAAAGATGTTTGTGGTTGGTGGCCAAAAAAACGTCTGTATTTAATCATCTTTCTAGGCTCTGATTGGTTGTTTTCATTCGGGGCCGGTGGATTTTTACAGACGCCATTCAAAGCACTAGGAGGAGTCAGAGGAA